AGCTTCCACCCAACCCCCGGAAATAAAATCTGTATACGTTGGTGATGGCATCAAATAACTGTGACCTCTAAACTGTAGTATTTTGGGGATGTTCCATCCTATCATGCGTCGTCAATATCGGTCCACTTTTTGGGATTTTTTTGGAAAAATCTCCATTAAAACTTGTTGAAATTTGCAAATAAGCCTCAAAAATTTTGGAAAGAGGGCATAATGAAGATTCCTGAGAGATGGAAAAATATTATTGAACAGAACGGTTCATCCTGTATTTCGCACCAAAAAAGGGAAGAAACTTGTGGGACAACCTAATATTTGGTGTACATTATGGTTTACATAAATCGGTTTGTATACATATTTTCATTTCAAGTACATGTCAGTACACCTAAGTCTGTTTTTACACGGTAGATTGGTTCCAGAAGAAGTCGTGTAAAAAATGGAATTCCCCTAAATTAGTGCTATTCACATTTGCTTTGACCAGTAAAGATTGTTTGAACGCGCAATTCACTGAAATCTTTAAGCTAGTGCTCGCAAACTATCGATGGTTTCAGACAATTTCTTTCATAAATACTGTTTTGTGATATGAACATACGTCGCAAAAATTAAATTTGACAAAAAATTTAAGTACATAAAATTTCAAATCGTGCTAAATGGAATAAAATCGTGTAAAAAATTTAAAATATTCAATTTTCAAACCGTGTTATATCAAAACCGTGTAAAAACAGACCGTGTAAAAACAGACTTAGGTGTATACGTATGGTTCGACACGGTCGAATTAAACGCTTTTTTCACTTGTGTTTTAGGGCTTTAAATATTCCTACCAAAAATTGTCAAATATGTATTTAATAACGTATTACTAAGTCGACTTTGATCAGCTAAATACCATTTCGATTTATTTTTTCGATTAATTATTTCAATTTATTTGTTTTGGTTTTCTGTAGAACAAATAACGGTGAATGAAAAAAGTGAAATAATAATAACTTAATATAGCGAATGATATCAAATTATGACACGAATAACAAATTCATTCAAATGCCAACGAAAATAATGTGGACATTCAGACAGTACAGTAACAACAACAACAAATGAATTAATGGCGGCATGAAACAAATTTTAAAATATCACCACTAATGAAGAGTTAACGATATGGTCTATTGAGCAAAAAGCAAAAAAAAAAAAAGAAAAAAACTACCGGCAGGTTAATAAACTTTGGTCATTTCATTATTGGATGAAGTTCTTCTTCATTCCATCGGCTTGACTTGGTTAGTATTGCATAAAAGCATAACATCGATATGAATTTCTTTTGTCTTAGCGATCAACCCACTAGTCAGCTCCGCTTAGCCAAACGACCAAATGACGAATAATTAAGAATACATTTTAAATGTTTCAATAATTTTTATTTTTTTGTTTATTATCAGTCGAATATTTCTATAGATGTGTTTAGATATGTAAGTAAGTATATATGGAGTATATTATGTGCATTGGTATGTATGGTTGTATGATTTTCACCGTTTTGTTTTCTTTCTGTTCGCTCGAACAACAATACTATTATGTCGTATAACGCTTTAGATCACATTTTTGTTGGTTTTGTTCTTTTTTTGTTATTGCCTAAAAATACATGGTGGGTTTGATGTGAGGGTGTATCCGGCATTTAACGATATCTCTTTTGTTCTTTATCTGGGTTGTAGGGATGTTCTTCCAAATATTTCAATGTCTTCAATACTGATTCTGGAATTGGTGGTGGTGTGGGCAAATGAGCACCAACTGGACGATAGCCATTCTCATCGGCGGTATATGAAATGGAATATTCTTCGCCATCATCGGAAATGAAGGCAAATCTTCCCTGAATGGCCTCACCTTCGTGATTGTCATCGACATGTTTCAAGATGCCATCTTGAGTTGCTTTCGAGCCATCTCCCAATTCGTAACTGCAAAAAAATAGAGAAGGAAGAGAAGAGTTGAGGTGAGAAAATATAGCACTAATTCGATACAAAATGTTTCGCTTGTTAGCGTATTAGTAGAATTGTTAATGACGTTATTAGTTAATGCCAATTAAGAAAACATTTTATATAAATTTAAAATTTTACTTTAGAACAAGATTTTGCTGGATTATCTAGTTTGTGTTAATGGTCTGATCAGAAAATATTTAAAATATATTCTTATATAAAAGTTAAATTAATTTTATATGGTTTCAGTTCTAGTGCATACTGAAAATAACACAATAACACTGAACTTGTTATACATATAAAAGAGACTAAAATAAAATAAATTAGTAGAATGGTGCTGAATGTTTTACGTAAATAAGCAAAATATTTATGAAAGATATTTGTATTATTTATTACTTCGAGATCAGATAGAACATATATGTGGTATATAAAGGTTTATCGATTTCATCATTTCAAAAGTATTCAGTGAAAGTCTGACATTGACGTCACAATTACAAAAATTCTGATTCTGCCACAGCCACATGTCGAACAACGTTTTTTTCAACGATGAAGCACATTTCTCACTCGTTGGATGTTTTAATGAACAAAATTGTCGTATTTGGGGGTTTGAGAATCCTCAAGTCATTGAAGAGAGGTCATTACATCCAGAAAGCTACTTTGGTCAGATGGTTTGATTAGACCTTACTTCTTCCAAAACGACCATGAAAAGACTGTCATCGCCAATTCGGAGCTTTATTATCTTATGACTATAAAGCAGTTTGCGTGCTATTGAAGAACACGACTTGGAGAATATGTGCTTTCAACAAGACGGTGCCACTCGAGGGATATCTTGTTTAAGCTATATCAACTGGTCACCAAGATCATGGCGGCTCCTGGGAATATTGTGTCCATGGACCTATATGAACATTTCCTGAATATATACGTGTCCCGGAATGCTATATTACAGTCACCGATTCTATATATGGGGCTGTGTCGAGGCTTGAAATTGATTCGTAATTGATCTGCGAAAATGGTCTTCACCCTTAAAAACCTGAAATACCTAATTCCAGCCACTTTAATAGGAAACTGCGACTGAAACCTTCAAAAAATCCAAAATGAGACACAGGGTGCCAAATTACAGTCACTTCAAAGGCTATATTTAGAAAATATTTTGTTTAAATGTATGACAGCTTCTAAAAGCCCGAATTTTACAAATTATAGCCACCTCTGTGGAAATATTCGGCAAATATCGAATGGATGGTTTGAGAAGTACAAACTAGTTTTTAGCACAAAAATATCTGTCATAAAATAATGAGCAGACCTCTGTATTTACTATTCATCCATTTCGAGAAAGTTTTCTAAACCATATGAGTAGTGTTGAGCAAAAAGGGAATACACCAAAAAATAATCCGATGCAGAACTCGAAAAACTTTATTATGCGGATGATATCTGTCTTCTCTCTCACCCAACATGCAGTTATAATTAGAAAACTTCTAGAGACTGGCTCAAAATGTTGGACATTTCATTAGTATGAAGGAAACTAAGGCCGAGAAAATTGACAACATCAGTATGTAAACATTATGCTAGAAGGCCTAGCAATTGAATACGTTGATAGATTCTGCTAGCTAGAAACCACTGTAACAACTGTAACTGTAATGATAACAAAAGCATTCTGACGACTGCAAGTTGTATGCAGCAGCTCACATATATACAGAAAACCAAGTTTCAAATATTCGAAACATGTATACATTCGATACGGCGGCAGAACCTGGCTTGTTTCTGACACCACCACGCAAAAGTTACAAGCAAAGTTATAAACAGATGCTTCAGGATCAAATGCAGAATATTTTGGCCCAACACCATAAATAACGTAGAGCCGTGGAACCCATACAATTACATTAAACTAGGAAATGGAATTGGAATAAATGAATGAAAAAATGGAGAATAAATGAATGAAAATTCCAAGTCGACCAAGATAACCCCTGGCGACGAACAAATAACCAATAGAAGTAACAGAAAAAATTATATCTGATCCAAATAGATTCAAACACAACACATTCTCTTCCATACTGTATTTGGATGTATGTGTTAAATATTGTATCATCATGTGGTCAAAACATATGCAACTGAAATCGACTCTATGCAGTAATCTGTTTATTTGAAGTTTAAAAATAATACATCTTGGTATTTTTTCAACGTTTTAGGTTAAATTGAAAATGTAATTGTAAATTTACCCTGGCATTTTTAATATTTTGTTGTAAAATTTATTGATAAAATGGATTACTCGATATTAGCTGGGACAAAACATATGCAACTCTGACGTGGTAAGTTTAATAAATATTTAATAAAAAAATGTAATATACGATCACAAACAACCAAATAAAAAGAAGATATGTATTAGAACTTAAAATGGACTTAAAGCTCATTCAAAATAACCGACTAATACAACGCTACTCCAACAAATTCGGAATTTTGTGGATTTTTTGTACGTTTTTAAACCGAATTAGCTGTAAATTGGTATAATGTGTTTTCATTATATGGCACGTCTTCCTTTAAAAAACCAGTAAGGGATGTTCATAGCATCTTTGGAGGACCATTGAATTGGAATCGGACGAAATTAAATGTGTGAACTACATAGATAATTGAACTAATTTAGAACAACTCATACACATACCATTTCTAAACATTTCTATGAAAAAATGCACTTCAATCGGAAGACTTGTACAATTTGTAAAAAATCGAGCAATATATATGGGAGATATTTGACGTATGGGACGAATTTGTACAATCATTTGGTACGTTACAGTATAGTGCGCAGTCCAAAATTTATTTGGTGCAAAACATGCATGAACTCAGACGAAAATATAGAGTGGTTCCAATTATTATAGGTTTGATTTGGTACGTTGTGCACAAATTCGTATATTTAAATCTTTACCGATTCAAAAAAATTGCATACATCAATCGGGACCTAACTCATTACAAAGTGCAAAATTTTGTCTCAATCGGACAAAGATTGGGTGTTTGGTACACCATTTTTTATATATGGGAGATATATCTAAATCTGAACCAATTTCAACAACAATTCACGTGCGACAACCTGCCCCAATTTCGAAATGCTGTCCAAAGTTTTGGTCTCAATCGGACAATGATTAAGAGTTTGGTGCACCATTTACATAAAATCGGACGAAAATATATATGGGAGCTATGTCTAAATCAGAACCGATATCAACAATTCAGTACGCTGTATAAAATTTTGTCTCAATTGGATAAATATTGGAATATTAGGCCAAATAAGTGACCTGTATCAAATTTCATCCAACTCGGATCATAATAGCGACCTTTACTTTGTACTGACGGACTTGCATAAATCGACTCAGAAGGTGATTTGATTTGATTGATATGTATATTATCAAAAGGAACCGTATATTATCAAAAACATAACACCCTATACCACAGTGTGGTGAAGGGTATAGTTATCAATATTCATCCACTTTAAAGCAGCTCCGATATTTTGGGGAGTTGTACCATATTTTTTATTAAATTTGGATTCAAATATGGTAACAAACCTTCCTACAAAAATGTATCAGTATTGAAACATTTTTTACGCTAGCCCCCATTTCAACGGTACCGGCTTCAATTCGGTATATTGAGAATTTTGAGCCCGTTTTTAACGTGATTTGGCTGTGATTACATTCTAATCCTGTGTCAAATATTCCTAACAACAAATTACCATGGTACAGACCACGGTAAAGATACAAAACGATTACAGGTACTTCAAATGCCCAGCTCATGGTGGAGGGTGTAAAAGATTCGGCTCTGCCGAACGAAGGACACAACGACAGTGATAATTTGCAGGTTTGTTTTAAAATTTTGCAGATTTGTATATGATTCCCAAATATATTATATATTAAAGTCCGTCCATACCGTAAACAGAAATTTCAATTTTATAGAATGAAAAAATAAACTGTCTGAACTTGTTTTCGAAGATTTACTGGTGGTAGAGAGTTTCATTAATGATTTTATGCGAGAATGCGAATCGAAATCATTCAGTCATATATCATATATTATATATTAAAGTCCGTCCAGTCATATGATTTAAATTGATTTTAGATATTTTTAATTCACCGTTTACTTCAATTTAAAATCGGTAGGCGCACGCACCTCCTGCATAAAAATAGGTTCATTATTACCAAAAATTCCATTATCAATGTTTTCACTACTATAGATTTACATATTGACCTTGATATATATACGTATTTTTATTTCTCAGAAAAACACAATTAGCACATAGTGTTCATATTTTTTTGCCAAAAATATTCTGTCATATTTTCACATAAATTTTCACTTCGTGTTATTTTTTTTTTGGAATTTCCAAAATAAATTCGACTTCCTGATTATTGATATTATTATTTTATATTGCAAATATTTGCCATATTTTTTATTTATGTGACCGCAAGTTTTCTATTTTAAGTTTTTGTTAATATAATATTAAGAGGATCTGATCATCACAGCATTGTTTTTTTTTCATTTATGGATAAGAGTATTTTGTTAACTTTCATGCTTTTAGCACTTTAAGAGTTGGTGGGTGTAATTTATTTGGCATTTTTGTTCTTGTTGATTTATGTTCCACTATATTATTTAAATTTATATTTCATTTTTTTATTTAGGGAATTTTTTTATTTTTTTTTTGTATAATGCTTACTGATAATGATATTTGCCATCATGTTCCACAATGGCTTCGTTTGAAATCACTTCGACATCCTTGGCAGATACAATACCGGCCACCATTAAACCGAACACAACAAAGATGAGTTTCATTTTCTTTTAGATTTGGTTCGGAACAGCGAAGAGGATTAAATACCAAAACCACAGAAGATAAATATTTAAATTAATCGAATCGAGTCAAATGCACGAATGATACGATTTTAGTCAGCCAAACGAGCTTTTATACTAAAATTGTTATTAACTAAAACAAACTACAAGAAAAACAAAATACAAAAACAATGACCAAATAAAAATTCCTGAACCGTAAACAGAAATTTCAATTTTATAGAATGAAAAAATAAACTGTCTGAACTTGTTTTCGAAGATTTACTGGTGGTAGAGAGTTTCATTAATGATTTTATGCGAGAATGCGAATCGAAATCATTCAGTCATTTGTCAGGGTATTAGTTTTGTTTATGGGAATTATAAAGAGAATCTTCTTCGGCCAGCATCAATGATACTTTCATCTGGCGTCTCTTCGATTCTATTTCTCCCACTCTGTGTTCTACAAATAGAGTGTGAATTTTAACACAGCCATAAACGGCAAAAAATCAATATTCAATAAATATTAAATATGGGGCATCTCACATCGAATGACCGGTTAGCAAATTGTAGAATGTCATAACGATATTAAAATTGTGCGGAACACAATAAATCACAAATGTATTCCGTTCAACATTCTAAAGAAAATCAATTAAAAAAATAATTCTCCTAATAGAAATTATCGACGGTATTTACTAAGAACCGAAAATGGGATAGACATCTATTTATGTCAATAGTTATTTATCCTCTATACTTTATACACCAGAATGGCGACATATATCCATATCGCATGTAAACTGAGGATGGAGGCATAAAAGCATAAAATGAGCAATATTAAATTGAAAATTTATCGCAAAGATGTTTTCACTCGCCAAAAACCCGGTATGCCAATTTACAGAGCCTTAGAATGGAAAAATTGACCAAATATATCGGCTAATTGAACCACATGATGGGGCAAAAAAATATTGCATAGGAAAATACATGCAAATTTCCTCGGATAATTAAATCCTGTTAATTGATTTTCTCGCTTAATTGGTTCAAAATTCATGTCATCAATAATACATTTCCTTTTCACCGGTTAATTGCAAACTAATAATAATTGGAAAATAATTTGGCATTTTTACATATCGACGCCTCCGAATCATAGTATGTTAAGTCGACTTAGCATGTTTTAAAGTTCTTTACGTTTTTAGAATCTACGGTCCTTAATTTACATTCTCCTCAATTTTGGTAATCATTGGCCAATCCAAACCAAAGTTATAAGCAACCAGTGAGCGGAGCAGTATAGTCGGACGGGGCCGACCATACGATACCCTACACAACTACCACGGAACTCAAATTTTCTGCGGATGTTTATTCGGAGACTGGGCAATATTTCGAGATATTTGCACCCTCTTCCTCACACTGACATATTTTTCGAATATTACGAGTATTCGGTACTTCTATTGTTCAGATTCCCTTCACCGTGGGTTGTTGTGATGTTCGGCTTTCATTTGAGGTCTATAGATCGACTCGAAAATAACACAAAAAATTAAGTTTCCTGTCCACTTCATTCCAAAATTATTATCTGATCATCACGGAAAATTATAGGCGTTGTCCTTGACCATAACTGGAACCTCATGGAACATTTCAAAGCGATCAGCGTTATAGTTCCGCTCTACAGAGTGATAATGGTTACTAAATAATATACGAATACGGAGATATCTGTAAATATTTAGGTGTAACTCCCACATCCGAGCACATACAACAATATAATTGGTCTTAATTTAAAGGTCAACCACTCCTCTTGGATATAATATTAACTTCTCGGGTATATGTCCTTCAGGGGTAAATATATACGCTATAGAATACAAATTTTGTAATTTTTCACACAAAAGTCAGGGTCCATTTGACCCGCTAAATATTGACCGATCTTTCTCCAAACAGGCAAGCTCATTCTTTGGCCCGATCCGCTTCTCCATGCAAAATTTCACGATGTTCGGACCATTGTTGCGGCCTCTGGAGCGACCAGAAAAACCGACAAAAATTTAGTATTTGGTCCATTTCATCCCCTAAATATTAACCGATCTTTCCCAAAAACAATAGGGGTCTTCATTAGCCAGAACCCATCCTACATGCAAAATTTCGTGAAGATTGGTCCATAACTGTGGCCTGTATCGTGTTTACATATTATAATGGACAGACGGACGGACACACATGTCTAGATCGACTCATCTAGTCGAGATATGACGATCGGGTCTAGGACCAATATTTCGCGGCGTTACAAACTTTTGGGGCTGCACAAAGATACAATACCCTGACAACATAGTTGTGTAGGGTATAAAAATGTACCTAGCATTGGACTTAAGATTTAAGAAACTTCCATACCATTATGTGGTAAGTACACTTAGCACATTTCGGCTTGGAACTTTTTTAATTATTTCGGATGTTAAGTAGAATTAGCATACTACAGCACGGACTTTTTTGTAAGATGTATTCGCTATGTATACTTGGCATTGTCGTTATTTTATTTTTAGTGTTTCTAAGTTTACTTTGTGTGTGTAAATATACATAGCATACTATAGTTTGGAAAAAATAGTCGACTGATAAAGAACGAAAATGTTCACACTTTTACAAATGATATGAGTTCGATTGCGCGGAAAAAGCTGAAATTGGCACAAAATATGTCAAAAGGTAAGAGTTATTTATATTTATATTTAGTTTTATATTATGTTATTAATCTGATTTCGCTTCTAAAAAGGAGAAGTAATAACTACAGAGACCATGCTAAGTAACAAAGAGGAAAATAAAGATAAGCAATTTAAGAAGACATTAGTTCTCGCGTTTATAAAATATCATTTTTATACCCTCCACCACACTGTGTACTGGGTATTATGCCTTTGTGCATATGTTTGTAACAGACAAAAGGAAACGAGATAGACCCATAGTTACTTTTGAGAATATGCATAGAATCACTTTCTGAGTCGATTTATGCATTTCCATCCGTCCGTCCATCTGTCCTCCGTCTGTTGATGTTCAATTGTAAACAAAGTACAGGCCGCATTTATAATCTGATTTGGATGAAATTTGGCACAGCTTTTTATTTGGCCCCAGGACGAACCCTATTGAAATTGGGAAAAATCGGTTCAGATTAAGATATAGCTCCCATATATATTTTCGTACGTCCATATATAGGGGAGACTGGGGCACCTTCGGCACTTTTTTTTAGAGCTCTATATCTCAGTACTTATTCAACATATATAACAACTTTATGGCTGATTATTGTCCTCAGACACTTAATTATAAAAAATAGTACCAAAAATATATAAAAAAATAGTATTAGTTAAAAAATTTTACAGTTTTGTAAAAAAGGTCAAATTCGCCGAATGTGCCCCAACCCGGGGTAGCTTCGGCATTTGATGGGGCACATTCGGCAACATAGTCATAGCCGGGTAATTGTCATCGCTATCAGTCTGGTTGAAATTCTGATCCTCTAAAGGCTCTATTTGGTTTTAATACGCCACACAATGTTTGAATTATAGGGCTTTTTTTTCTAACGGCGTCTAACGTTACATCTCAAGCTCGCACACAACATCAGAAATAAGGGTTTTCTATCGCATTTTCGGCAGTACATGTACTTTTGATCTTATATATGCAATTTCGGACCATATTAAAGGATTAGTTTTAAAGACAAACTCAAAAACATTTTAAGGAAATAATATTGCACAATCTGTATATGGCCGAATGTGCCCCACTTTAAAATGCCGAATGTACCCCGAATGTACTTTTTATAGTTTTTTTCATTTTTTTCGATCAGTTTTTAAAAACATTATATTTTTAAACATTTCTATAATAATACACATCGTAGTTAACCACTTTTTAATAATATTGTCTTAAAAATTTAAAAAGTTTTATACGCGAAATACTTACGAAGTGGAATTGAAATATTACAGAAACATCTATAAAAATATAAAAACCCATGTATCTAAATAAGTTTATTAGCTAGAAATTTCAAACTTTGTGTCAGTTATTTATTTCGATATTCGATACCTATGTATCGAAACTAGTGATGTACGCTGAGAGCTTCATATCGAAAACGCGATTGCCGAAGGTGCCCCGATGCCGAAGGTGCCCCAGTCTCCCCTATCTATCGATTTGCACGAAATTTGGCATAACGTACTGAATTGAGTCTAGAGTAATGTATGCCAAGTTTTGTGAAAATCGGTCAGATGTAGATATAGCTCCCATATATATTTTCGTACGTCCCTATATATCTTTCGATTTGCACGAAATCTGGCATAATGTACTGAATTGAGCCTAGAGTGATGTCTAAAAAGTTTCGGTTTAGATATAGCTCCCATATATAGTTTAGTCCGATTTTATGTAAATGGTACAACAAAGTCCCTATATATCTTTCGATTTGCACGAAGTCGGCCCCGACTTCGACTTTCCTTTACTGCTTTCCTTACTGGTTTACATTAAAATAGTTATCTAATTTGTTCAGCGTTTTGGGTTTGGTTCTAAGAGTCTGTCGTTATCATTTCACCTGCGGGTGTTGAGATAAAAGGCTAGAGCGTAAGGTTCGATAATGAACTATATATGAACTATAACCCGATAATGCACTATATGAACTATAACCCAGAAGGAGTGGACCGATATTCCCTATCTTCGAACGAAGAAATAATAAAATGGGCAAAGTTTGGATGAAATCAAAATTTTTCTGAAACAACTTTGGTCCAAAGAAACATGGGGTCTAGAACCAATATTTCCACGAGACACATTTTCACCGTGTGAAAGTGTATACACCCTCATCAGCCATAAGGCTGAGTGTATAATTATTCATTAAAAATTTCTGAAATTTGTATTATATTATGGTGGTGGGTATCCAAAGTTCGGCACGGCCGAATTTAACGCTTTTTCACTTGTTTTAATTATATATTATAATCTTAGTTTGTCTAAGTATAATGACAATAAAATGTATCTTTATTTTGTTCGTGCAAACATGCCAAGTCGACTTAGCCGACTTCTTATGA